ACACATTACAGTCAGGGACCTAAAATCCACTTTTTTTTTTCTTCTCTAAAAAAATAAAGGGCAAATTCACATTTGGGTTAGTTTATACTGGCTTTATAAATGTGGTCTCTGAAGAGTGTTTTTCAAAATGTTTTGCAAGGAACACTAGTCTCTCTAGAAGCTCCTCCAATTATGGCTGCGCACCGGCTGCTCACCGTATCTGGGTGGGATGTTAGGGGCACGCGTGCACATTAACACTCCACACTCAGGACTGTTGAACCCTAGTTCCTCAGACCTTTCGGAACTTGCCACTTCTTTTTCTTTTTCTCTGTAACACTTGCTCTTGGGTTATCTCAGGAGGCCTGTGACCATGTTAGTGCATTGTTAGGAGGGTCTGGGCCACCTGACACTTCCTTCCTAGAGCAGTGATGGCGAACCTATGACACGCGTGTCAGAGGTGACACGCGAACTCATTTTTTTGGTTGATTTTTCTTTGTTAAATGGCATTTAAATATATAAAATAAATATCAAAAATATAAGTCTTTGTTTTACTATGGTTGCAAATAGCAAAAAATGTCTATATGTGACACGGCACCAGAGTTAAGTTAGGGTTTTTCAAAATGCTGACACGCCGAGCTCAAAAGGTTCGCCATCACTGTCTTAGAGATTTTACCGACTAGACATAGATTAACAGTCTTAAGCCACATTCTTACAAATGTTTGTGTTTTTTAAATTATCCCATCTTTCATGTAGTCACGTAGAAAAGAAGTGAAAGCTATAAAAATAGTTTCCTGAATTACACTTTATAGAATGTTGAGTGAAGAGAATTTAGAAGCCAGAATGTAAAGTTCATTGGTATGTAAGTGACCCATAAGGAAGAATAGGGCGAACAGAAGTGTGAAAGCTTGGGGTCATAAAGCTCTGATAGACCACGCTGTAGACTAGACTTGGTCCTTCTTTAAAGGAGACAGAGATTTAGACAAATTTCAACAGTATCAATACTTTATAAATCTAGGAAGTTATGGAATAAAAGCATGAACCATTTAGGAGGACTTTTTTTAGGGCTTCTAAAGGTACAATTTACTTTTTTAAAAATTCTGACGTCTGTAATCAACAAAATCTCTTGTCACCTGCTGAAGTTCTGTAGAGAGAAGTGAATCTAGACACAAGCTTTGTTTATGGAATACTGTCTTACATGTTGTCAAATTGTAGTTTTCAGAGGAAAACATGTTTTTCCTTGAAACACAATTCTGAGTGTGGTAGACACAATAATGGCTTCCAAAGATGTGCATGTCTTTTTAAAAAATACATATTTGTATTGATTTCAGAGAGGAAGGGAAAAGGAGAGAGAGAAACATCAGCGATGAGAGAGAATCATGGATTGGCTGCTTCTTGCATGCCCCACACTGGGGATCGAGCTCGCAATCAGGGCATGTGCCCTGACTGGGAATTGAACCATGACCTCCTGGTTCATAGGTCGATGCTCAACCACTGAGCCACGCTGGCTGGACAAGATGTGCATGTCTTAATCACTGGAGCCCATAAATGTTACCTTTGGTGGCAAAATGAATTTTGTGCCTGTGATTAAGGATTTTGAGATAAGAATGTTATCCTGGAGTATTTAGGTTGCCCTGATGAAACCATAAGGTTCCTTATAATAGGGAGACGGAAGGTGAAGGTCAGAGTGAGAGGAGAAGGTCAAAGTGATGTGGGGCTACGCGCCTAGGTTGCCAACAGCCTGTGGAAGCTGGAAGAGGCAAGGTGCCTGGAGACTCCAGAGGAATGCAGCCTTGCCGACCTGTTTGAGACTCTGACCCCAGAGCTGTGAGATAATAAGCGTGTGTCATTTTAAGCCACTAAATTTGCGGTAATTTGTTTTAGCAGCAACTGGATATTAATACATTGTGGAAGCAGTTTAGTCACTCCTCTCAAAGTTGAGTGCCCGCTATGTGCCAGGCAGTGTTCCAGGCACCAGGGGTCAGCAGGGAGCAAAACAGGCCAGCCCCCCTCCCTTCTGGACCCTCCCCCCCTCCCTCAGCTCACCTAACCTTACATTCAGAGAGTGCCTTGTGCTGCTGTGAGAATAAAAGTGTCAAACAATAGAAAATGATTGGGCCACGTGCTGCAGAGGGGCTCATTTCAATGTGTGCATGGGAGGGGGGCACTGGTCTCGGGGCCTTTCTGAGGAGGTGACATTTAAGCTAAGATCACAGTGATCAAAAGGAAGCAGCCATGCTGCCTTCTGGAAGGACAGAAGGACAGACACAGCAAGTACTGTGTGCAGAGAGACTCGTGGACCGGGGGGCGGGTGGGGGGGGGAGGCTTCTTAGGGTGACACCACCACTTAGGGTCACAGAGCAGGAGGTGGTGGCTCAGACCCCCTGCTCCCCCACCAGCAGGAAGTCCTCGAGGTTCTTTGCATACACATGGGACGGGAGGCCTCCTTGCCCAGTCACTGCCCATCCTCTGCTGCTTCCTAACAAAACTCCACAGTCTGCTCTGAGAGCGAGAGGAGCCTTGGCTCTCAAACCCATGCCCTGAAGCTGTGACAGAGTCAACAATTTCTCTTCGATGGTCACATTCTACATAGCCTTTGTAATCTTCAGCACCCTGAGGAGCCAGCACGGGCCCTTCTGGGCTGAGCCCAGGCCTCTGTTTGTGTCTCATGGAGAAGTTTTCTGTTGCTGGCTTCTTAGGAATAAGCAGCGAGAGCTGAAAATCACCCATTCCTTCTGTACGCTCTCTGTCTCTTGGAATCTTAACAGTTGACCCGGGTTTTGGAGAATGTTTATTCCTCTCGCCTGGCTTTACCAGCAAAAGAGCAGCCCAGAAAGGGAACGTTGCCCACATGTGTTGTAAGCTTTTGCACCCCCTTGTGTCTTCGGGAGTCTGAGAGGGTGCAGCTCAGAACAGGACTGCAGCTGGGTGCTGGGGCTGGCTTTCGTCTCCTCTCCTGCATCTTTTAAAAAGTAAAACTACTCACCCTGTTCAGCTACTCACATTTTAAAATTGGTTATATATGAAACTCAGTACAATTTCTGCCTTGTGAAATGTGTTCTCTAATGGTCTTGATTCTTAATTAGGTCCTGGCTTTTTGAGCCCCCAAATAGTCTGCTGTCTAGAAATAGAGTGTAAGTGGCCGTAGGGGCCCCATCCCAAGCCCACCCGATCACATGGGCGCAGGAAACTCTGACAGGTGTATGGAGGTTCCTACAAAGTCTGTGTCGAATTGGAAATGTATGTGTGGAGGGGTCTTTTGTTTTTTGTTTTTTTAATGAATAGAGTAAGGTAGTTACACTTAGTAATACCCATTCACCAAAAGGAAAGGGTGTGTGTTAAATCATTGTGTTTTTTGATGAATGGCTTGTACACTGAAAAATAAATTGGACAAACTGGCATAGAGCTCAGTGAACATGAAATCAGCTATTAGAAGAAAGCTTGTGAACAAATTCTGAGGCAGATATGCATCTTTTGATTAACGCCCTATCAATCATCCGCACAGCTACCTTCGCTAAGTCTTGCTGTAATCATTCATGGTTGCTTTCGGAAACACTGGCAGAAACTATAGTGCTGCAGAAACGGAATATTATTACTGATTCCTCCCTAACTTACTGTGAACAATGACTGTTTTCACCATGTTTCTGCTTTCCTTTATTACAGAAATACAATACGGAATGAAAGGAGAATTCCTCCCAGCCTGGTGAAATTCTCCTAGGGTATTCTTAATGATATTCAGTCTTAAATGGGCAAGCTATTGTAATGTGAGGTTCTCTGAAGGAATAATAGTAATGTAATCCCCCTGAAGTCGCCTTTTATAGATTGTAATCAAATAGGCAAAATGTGGAGTCACATTAATGAACAGAGTATATCTTCGGAATTATTGCTGAAAGTTGTTGAAATGGTTTGAATTTTGTTATTGTAATTATTATATTCTCAGTTAATGTGCTTAACAGCAATAGTAATTAACCCACCAGATTGTAAATTTGCATGAATTCTACCTCTGACATTACAAGAAATCCTGATTCTTTCTGTGTATTACACAGCAGGATGGGGGAAATATATAGAGATATTTTTTTTCACTGATTATTTTTTAAGAAAGACATTTTCATGAATGCACTTATAATTTTTCATGCACTTTTAAGCCATTGGCAAATTCCTCAAGGGCACTTCATTCTTTTAAGAGGATTTGATTCCTAAACTACGCTGGCATGGAAGATAATTTGGCACTGCCTACTAGTCTTTAGGAAATAGTGCGGTTTCTGAACCTACTGTAGCCTGGGAAATCCTGTGGCATAATGAAGCAGTGACAGGCATTAGCATGTATAATGGGCTTTAATAGACATTTAATGCTGTTTAACTGGGAGAGGGAGCTGTTCTCTCCCATTGGAATATTCCTCCATCAAAGCCCATTGATCACCGATTGCGCCCAGGAGAGGTTAATCCATCAGTTTCTGTAACCAGACGGCACTGATGGAAATTCTTTAGGTGGCATTCTGGATGAACCAAGCTTTCCATCTTTACAAACAAATGAGTGATATGACAAGCATGGTGTTCAAAACACATTTAACCAATTGATTTTCTTTCCTCTTGTAATAAGATCTGGAGACATATGAAAGTGCACAGTGTGAGCCAAGATTAAAGGAATTGCTCCATGCACAGGAACATATGGGATTGAGAGCCAATAAAAGTACTATAAAGCTTGTAGTCACCCATTCTCTTTTTTATATAAAGTTTGTTATTGCAATAAATAGCTGTTATTGAGCCGATGCCTTTTGTTTCGTTTTCCTGAATCTTATTTCAGGTCTGTCCTGTGTGTGTGCACACATGCGCGTCCTGTCATCTTTCTCTTGGAAGTTCTCAAGATGTTTGTCAACCATTGTTTTTTACCTTCTAGTTTAAACAGACGGACCTGATATGATCTGGGATGGTAAAACCAGCTGTCAAGGTGCAAACATGGGCTGCTGCACTAGTCCCCATGGTCCGTGTAGTGATGGTCTCCTGCCCTTTATTTCTCCCATCAGCCCTGCCTTGAGCTTCACCTACCCTTCTGCGCCTGTGTCTCTCCACGTGCATCAACAAATCTTAAGCCGACAGCAGAGCTTAGGCTCGGCCTTTGGACACAGCCCTCCGCTCATCCATCCTGCCCCAACATTTCCAACACAGAGGCCTATTCCCGGGATCCCGACGGTTCTGAACCCTGTCCAGGTCAGCTCTGGCCCTTCGGAGTCCTCACAGGTGAGAGAGAGACAGCTCGATGAGCTGGTCGGTCTTGGTAATCGTAGAGGAGAGCTGTGCCATTGTGCCAGCTCTTCTTGGGCACGGTACCCTGGCATCCTCAGCACTTCCATACTACATGCAGCCTGTCCTGCAAACTCAGGGCTCTGGTCTTCAGTCTTGGTGAAGATGCTGTGTGTGTGCTCCTCGAGAAACAGCAGCTTCTTCCACCAGAGTCCGTTGATCCTCGGGGGAAATGTGGCTACTTGATGAGGCTGCACTCTGAGCCGGTGCTGTCTCTACCCCCACTCAATAGAAATGCATTCAGGAATGTGTGGCTCTCATTTGGTCACTGTCCACTGGTGCTTCGAATTGTGTGATACTCCAGAGTACGAATACAATTGTTCTTTTCTCCGCACGGATCGTGCTGAGGGAGGAATCTGATGCTCTGATTAAAGAACGTTGCAAACAGTTCGTGTTGGTTTCCTACCCTCCTCACAGCTTTGTTCTTTTGGAACTTGTTAAAGTCCAGGCCCCAGGTCTATTCTTCTAGCTTTTATTTTTATTATTTTTTAATATTATTTTCTTTTTATGGTAAGAATCATCAATTTATTTTTTTAATACATATATATATAATAATTTTTTTCTATTTTATTGATTTTTTACAGAGAGGAAGGAAGGAAATTGAAGATACTGAGATTTTTTTTTGTGTCTTTATAGGTAATTCAGTGAAGTATAGTCTCTCAGAATGTTTATTATTCATTATCTTTTAATCCTTAGTTTCTGAACAATGCTTGCCTTTTCATATTCTGTGCTCTATCCACTGAGCCAAACCGGTTAGGGCTAAAATATATTTTTATTGATTTCAGAGAGGAAGGAAGAGGGAGAGAGAGAGAGAAACATCAATGAAGAGAGAGAATCATTGACTAGCTGCCTCCTGCATGCCCCCCACTGGGGATTGAGCCCGCAACCAGGGCATGTGCCCTTGACTGGAATCGAACCGCAGGTCGACGCTCTATCTACCGAGCCAAACCGGCCAGGGCTATTCTTCTAGCGTTTAGAAGCCTAGGGAGTTTATGCTCGTGAGCTAGAACTAGGAACTGCCTCATGAATGTATTTTCTGCTACCGCGGTGTTGGAACATTATCATGAGTCATTGTTCCAGCGCCAAACAAGCCTGCTTCTCTCCAGTTGCAGGTTTTAGCAATAGTCCTGCTCTTGATTACAACCTAATCTTTGTCTCTGTTCCTGCAACTGTGACTGGCAGAACAAGCCCACGAGCGAGTCTGCGGTGAGCAGCACTGGCGACCTGATGCACAACAAGCGATCGAAGATCAAACCTGACGAGGACCTCCCCAGCCCGGGGCCACGGGGGCAGCAGGTGAGGCGCCTGGGCTCTGCACTGGCAGAAGGCCAGTTACAGAGCTGGACTCGGTTTCTTTTTCCAGCTCAGAAGCAAACACAGCAAGTGCAGGAAGCTGTGTGAGGTATGAACTATGGTTCACTGAGTAAGCGGTTGGGTTTATGTGCTGCTGACTATCGATGTGACCGGGCTTCAGTCCCCAATCCCGATCTTGGGCCTGAATTGTGAGCTCCTGGTCCCAAGCCTGAGCTGGGCAGAGCTAGTGATGTTCTCTATACCAGTCATGTTTTTATTCTTACTTTGCCCCTTCCCACTTGGCAAGAGAGCCTGGGGAACAGGGAGGGATCAGGCACAACTCACCTCTATTCTAAGGTGACTTAGATTCCAGTCCTTTACTCAAAGTCCTGAAAGGACGAGGTCCTCTGAGCCTCAGTTTAAAGATGTGTTTCTCACCTCCTGGGGTCCTCTCGCCTGACACAGGAAAGAGGTCAAGGAATATTAATTTCCAGAAATAAGGGCTGGACAAGAATCTGGACATCCACAGGATCTGAATCTTGCTATGGCCAGGCTGCTTCAGCCCCAACCTCAGACCACTTTAGCCCAAATTTTTGTTTTAGTGACAAGCTCTTTGAAGATGGAATGAATGGGTGTCGTGGATTCTGAAATTCATCCTTTTGCATTTTGCTAGTCGACATCCTTTCTGGTCACACCTCAATGCTTGTATAGTTTTTCTCATCTAGCCCCAGTTTAGAACTCTAATCTACACACCTAATTGTCTCCCAGAATTCTAGAAATCCTTTGTATTTAAATTGCTACAAAGCTGCTTAGAAGACTAGGAAAGACTATACCCACTCCCTCCACGCCCCCCCCCCAAGTCCCAAGCTTTAGATGCTGTGGTTCTGGGGCAGAGAGTGCATCATTAGACATCAGAAGTTGAACCAAGAAGACATTATCCCTATAAAATCCACAAAGTGCCTCTTAAGAGCAGCCTCCAAGGGCAAGGAAAGCAGAATTAGAATTACTGGTAATCGTTTCCCTGGATTCCAAAATATGAGAATAAACATTAATATACTGAAAAGAATTTAACCAAAAGAGAAAGACCAATCTTTTGAGTAAAGATGACATCATCTAGTTTAATTGCTTCTCTTATGAGATGACATTTTCAGTTGTTTTTTTCACCGTCGTATTCAAGGATAGCGGAGTTTGCCTCAACTTCTTATCATCATTATGGTTTGGACTGTTGTCCTTAATCACAAGTGAATAATCTCGGAAGGTGTATTTGGTAACTCTGAAAAAATACACACAAATGATTCCATATGTTTGACTTCTTCCATTCACAAAACTTAGTTAACAGACCTGGGACTGTTTTATTTTCATTGAAAAATTTGCATCAGGGGGAAAACATCTAAATTAAGTTTTTGTCTTTTTCTTCTTTCATTGTGTGATTTGTTTCTCTTCCTTCCCCTCGCCTATCAGGAACAGCCGGAAGTAACCACCCTGGTGAAGGAGGAAGGGGACAAAGATGAAAGCAAGCAGGAGCCTGAAGTCATCTATGAGACCAACTGCCACTGGGAAGGCTGCACCCGGGAGTTTGACACCCAGGAGCAGCTGGTGCACGTAAGTGAGAGCGACTCGCCAACTGGGCTTTCCAACTACGTGCCCTTTCTGCGGGATCAGCTTTCCTGACCCTGCACTGCGTCGACTTTCTTAGCTAACAGTGCTCCGAACTGGAGAGCCCTTTATGACTTTATGAGAATAAAGAGAACTCGGAGCCCTGCTGCTTGACCTGTGCAGTCAGCTAAAGCTTAGTGTAAAATTCAATAAAGTCTTCGATAGAGAGTGTAATGACTCTGATCCTGGAAGTCAGAGAACACTATTTTGAGTTAGTGACTTGGATGATTATTGAGTAATAGTAAGCTGGACATGAATTATGATTAACCTTTAACCAAGTTTGAGTCTCCTTTCCAAGAGTAACAACAGAAAAAATTGTACAAGTGGGGGATTCCCTTTTTTTTTCTTTCCATTCTACTTTCTTTTCCCAAGCCCTTAACACTTCAGGAATCTCCCATTGTTTTATGCAGCAATTAGTACTGTATGTGAGATAGGTGGATGCTTGGGGCAAGCCATTAGCAATTTCTTGACTTGAGGCCAACCCTTGTAAGCCTAATAGTTTCATGGAAAAAGAGATGTGTATTGTGCAATGATGTGTATTGTGTTTAATGATGTCTGTTTTTGAAAGCTATAGTATGGTCAGGTTGAGAACCTTCTCTTGCCATCCCATGTTCTGAAATCTTGTCCCCTTATTTATTCCCGTGTATTGTTTCAAATACTGCAGCGCTCCCCACCCAATGCTCATACCTGATGAACCACATGTCCTTTGCCAGTGTTTCATTTTATTTGGCACTTTCTCTCAGGCCTGTGGAGTCTCCCTGGCAAACGTGAGCAGGAGCAACTGAGATGGAAGGGCATTTAGAAAATCAAGAAGAAAAAAAAAAGAGGCAGCTCACACACTCAGTGCAGAGAGACAGGGTCCTGTGGAGGCCTTGAGGATGGTTTGCTCAGTGTGGCAGTTTCAGAAGCGTTTAATCTGAAGGAAAATCTGACGGAACAGCTTTTGTTTCCACTCCCTAACCTCCATATGCACACTCATCCTCTTTTCTTTCCCAGTAACTTTTTATTTTTCAATGACCCATAGTTCTTGATAACTCTCCTCCATTTAACCGCTGAAATGATAAAATTCCTCACACATCCCACATGTCTTATAGGCGGCATGAGCCTTTGAAGTGTGTCTTCTGCACCGTGGCTCATCCTGGGGAATATGTTTCACACATTGCAGTTTCATTATCGTGTTGAATGTATGATTTGCTGGTTTTGCGATCGGTAATGTGCAGATTGTTTTTAGGATTTAACAGGACCTCAGCAGGGTTGTTGCCCCCTCTGTTTCTTTTTCAACCCTGTCTCCTTGTAATGGTATAGGGAGAATTATAGATTTCTCAGCACAGCAAGAAACCAGAAAATCAGATGGTTTTAATTAAGGTATATTTCCAAATTTTTCCATGAACTTCATTTATTTTTTTCTCTTTAATTTGATGCAAGTGTTATTTTTCAGCCAAGCCTGATTTAATGGCCCTTTATTCTTGCTGACTGTTTTTAATGGAAACCACAGACATTGTCATACTAAAGGGGGAAAAGAGGTTTTGAATTTTTATTTTAATGTGGAGAAATATTCCCAAAAATGAGAGTGTGCCAAGAATACTCCGAGCGATATAATGAGTGCCCGACGTAAATGAGGGAATTGTTCGGGTAACAACTGCCATCAGAGACTAGATGTTGGCAGTGCTTGTTAAAATGTCCTTGTGAGAGGCGACGCCACCGTCTCCTGGCTCCTTGTCTGTGGATAAGTCGCTGTAGTTCCCAAGGGGGGCTCTGACTGTGGGTCAGCCATTATCAAATGCGGAATGAAATAAGAGCCTACATTTCAATAGGGGGCGTACATTTAAAGGGAATTGTGGTGGCCCAGCCGGCGTAGCTCAATGGTTGAGGGTCGACCTATGAACCAGGAGGTGATGGTTCGATTCTCCGTCAGGGCACATGCCCAAGTTGCAGGCTCGATCCCCAGTGTGGGGTGTGCAGGAGGCACCTGATCAATGATTCTCTCTCATCATTGATGTTTCTATCTCTCTTCCCCCTTCATCTCTGAAATCAATAAAAATAAATTAATAAAATGAAATAAAGGGGATTTGTGCTGACTAGAGGCCAGGCGTGAGGTAATAACTTAAACTTTGTGCTGCCTACTGAACATGAAGGCTGTTTCAAACCAGTGAATGTTGCAGGTTTTTGTATTTCATCTCAGTGGCGGAAGGTTTTAGGCAGTGATGTTGTTTCTAACAGAGAGATCTGAGTAGCTTTAAGGAAAGGCTGCTTAAACTATCAATTAAATGACCGCCATGTTTTCTGTTTTGTTATAAACATATGAATGAATACAGCAATTTTTTTGAAAAATTCCAAATAGCTGGAAGAAATTTATGTCAGAATTAGAAGGAAAGTTAATATATTATCTGCTTGACATTAATTTTAGTCTGATAAATTATATGATTAAATAAACTTGTTAAGTGAATTAAAAATGATAACTTACAACAGCATAAATAAAGATACTAGTTTATATCACTTACTTGCTACCTTTTTACTTGTTATCTGAAGTGTGGAAATTCCAAATTTGTGCCTTTAAACTGATTTTACTTTGCATGACATAAAAGCACCTTCATACTCCTGGGTGTATCTGGTAGCATTTGCAGTGGCCTGGTGTATAGAATAGGTGCTTTATTTTTTGTTGATTGAATGAGTAGGTACTTCAAGTCTACCTAATTATGGCACTTTGATGGTAGATGGAAATAATATCACTTGCAAGAGCCACTTTTTTTTAGGGATAAAAGGAAACAGTAACTGCTTCCGTTCTTACGGTTTCCCTTGGAGAGAGGACATTCTCTGAATTAGTTGAATTTTCATGGTACATACAACCAAGAGGCAAGGTGTTAAACCATTCTGATGCCGTGCCATATTTATGGCCATGACCCATTCTTTTTCCCCTCTTACAGTTAATAGAAAGATTCATGATTCTTCATGGTTGTCTATCTAGTGTCTGACAGTCCCGACTGCCTGCTAAAGCAAGTCACTATCTATAATTGATATCCTTCTGTGGAATAGGGTGCTGGCTGCAATTGAAGGGCTTTGCTGAAAGCTCTTAAATCCTGACAAGTTCTCCCCTTGTTCTGGTTCAGTCGCTGAGCTGCACGGTTGGAATTCCAGAGTCATTTGAACTTAGTGCAAAAGGGAGACATGTGTTTCACATTAGCAAATCACAAAGTTGAAGGAGAATTAGGGAATTGGCTGACTCTGCCCGCCAGGTAGTCTCATTTCCAGGGTAATGCACTCCATGTTCTCTTGAAAAGATTACCTTGTCCCATTACTGTCCGAACAGATGGGCTAAATATTGCCTTTCCCTTCTCCTCCTCTTTATTTCAAGGCCCTGTCCTTCTCCAATTGTGTGTTTATGCTACTTTTGCTGGGGGGTCTTTATCTCTGGATGTTTAATTAATTTCTCTTCCCAGCAAGATAATTATAATTGGATTTAGTTACTCTCAAGCTAGCATTAAAACTGTCATAAATTTACTTCTATGCCCAGAAGCTACGAAGATAGATATATATTTTTGTTAACTAGGTTTGTGTTGTACTTTGTTCTTCTCTTGGTATCAGTTAAAATAGAAGGCAACAAGAGCGTAAGAGGGATATATAGAACAAAAGTTAATTAATTTAAAGTACCTTTAATTAAGACTGCATTTATTATTGATTTGTTAAGATGCTGTCTCTTCCCTTGACATCTGAAAGCACATAGTCTAACATCCCCAAATAAATGGAAAAATCCACATTTTCCCTTCAATTCTAAGTTAATTAGACCCTCTTTTTGCTGTTGTGCATTATATATTACAAAAGTCATGAATCTTACATTTACATTTGTTGAATAGCCGCTCTCAAAGTGTTGTTTCTGTTTTGTGTGGTTGGGTTGAGTTTTCGTTATTCAGTAAAACAACTCAAATCTGCCCTCTGGCCTGGCTTCTCACAGGTGCTAGGGCTTTCCGATCCTTGCCTGTCCCTCTTGTGTTAATCCTGTCCTACCAGTCAGTGCATCCTTGGCGCTTGGGTGACCGAGAGTCTGAAATTCGCACAGCATGCACACGCATTAGTCTCATGTTCTTGGAAACTGGCCTGCTTTCTGCTGAATGACACTGTGTGTATGCCACAGGTGTTTTGAGAGGCTTTTTAAAAAGAAGAAAGGGAATAAATGTGAAGAATGTGCACCTCATTGTGGGTCACCACTGCTGAGTGGCTAGTTATACTTGAAAACATGGCTGCTGGGATCTGAAAGACTGAGAATTGTATCATCCCCCTGCCTAATGCCACCTGTTTGATGCATCGCTGCAATTCCTTACCCTCTATTTCTAACCCTCTCTATCAGCTTAAGAAATAACAGATTATAAACAAAAAATTTTTCCCAAAGGTCTTTAAAAGGTCAAATTATTTTTTAATAGTTTTATTCACTGCACCATCCCCAGCAGAATGGCTGTGGCTATTACACTGTAAGGGTTTGTGTCTCTTGCCGGTGGGACTGGATGGCAAATAACATGAGTTGTGGGTACATCAGCCCCAGCTTGAACTGGGTGGCATTTCAGGCTCTGAACTCCTTCCTCCACTTTTTAAAAAATATATATTTTTTTATTGATTTTAGAGAGGGAGAGAGAGAGAGAAACATCAATGATGAGAGAGAATCATTGATCGGCTGCCTCCTGCACGCCCCCTACTGGGGATCGAGCCCGCAACCCAGGCATGTGCCTTTTTACCAGAATTGAACCCGGGACCCTTCAGTCCATAGGCCAACGCTCTATCCACTGAGCCAAACCAGGTAGGACACCTTCGTCCACTTTTAAGCATGGTGTCAGAATTCAGCTTTTTGTACCCTGATTAACCACCTACTTGGATTTTAAATGCTTTCATGTGCTGTGAATGTTGACCTCTAAAATCATGCTGAAGTTGCCTTTATTGAAAGAATACAGTTATAATCC